TCGGTTCAGTTCTAGTTATTGGTTTTCCAAATACCGCTACTACCAGTTCAGTTCACAAAAAAAGGCCCACTGTTTGGTTACTCGAACCGCGACCCCCCCTATTGGTAGCAGAGTGAAAGTCCAAAAGGGTTTGGAAGTAAAATGATTCATGTTATTTTAGCTGATTTCATTTGGAGATAATGGATGTATTTTGGGGTGAATTAGGGTTAAGGAAAAAAAAGGGCAATGAAAAGAAAATAAAGAATGTTTAGGTGAATATTTACGTAATTTAACGCATTCTGCCATCTTACTTAATGATCGGGAGAGATTTGTTGCAAAGTGAAAGTACAAGAGGTTTTGTTGCAAATAAAAGTTTAGTGGGGTAGTTGTCATTGGCTCTGTAGTAGAGGGGAGTCTTTGTCAGAAATAAAAGTTTAAGGGGGTAATTGTCACTAAATCCATAGTATTGGGAGAGGGGGTTCAAGAATGACTTTGATACCATGTATCATGAATAAAACCTCCACTCCAAATCCCCTTTTGGTATGTGTGATTATACAACATTCAAACCAATTTTATTAATATGTAAACCTACTACTAATTTTACGTAGCTGCCATTACATGGTGTAATGGTGTGATTTCAAGCTGGAACAAAGGATTAGTGTGAGAACATCATGGTTCCAGTCCACATTTCTCAAGACCCTAGAAAACTGAGGCAAAAGATAATGGATTGCATTTCAATTTATATTGGAATGTTGAATACTTAGCCCAAGTTGTTCCACCTGCTGTTATATACAAAGTGCAAAATGTTCCTCTTCCTAGTCCATCATTCAGAGGCCAAAGATAGACTTGTTTGGACCTTCACTCCCCTTGGCATGTTCACAACAACATCATGTTTAAAATTGCTAGATGTCAAATGACCAAGTGACTCCACAGCAGCTTACATATTTGGTGACATGAAATGGAAACACATGTAGAAATTCAAGTACTTTCCCTCTTCAATTTAGGGTCCGTTTGGTTCGTAGTTGGAATCGGAATTGAAATCCTCTAAAATCGGAATGAAAATGATCCATTTTCATAATTTATTTGGTTTAGACAGAAAATGGGAATGAGAATTAAAACCAGCAGAAATAAGATTTCATTCCCAAAGGGAGATGGGGGCAGTGAATGGCCTTTGATGTTTATTTCGAAATATATCCAAAATGCCCTCCCTACGAATGATAAACTCGCCACTCTTTCTACCCTATTCGTCAAACACATGTCCACTGTGTGGAGAGAATGCTGAAACTCCATTACATAAATTTTTATTTTGTCCCATCACTTAATCGAATTTGTTTTGGGTTCTGCATGCAATTCTTTCCATTACGACATGACTCCCAAGATGTTCCCCGTTAATTATGTTCCACCATTGGCAAGATGGCTCAAGCCTCCTGAAGGGTATGAGTTACTCGTCGTCCTATATATTTGTGATCCTTTGTTGGCTGAAGCTTACACATTTTATATTGTATTCTTTTTGTCATTCTCATAGATTTCTTGGCTGTTTATTTTGAAGGTGATGCACTCTTCTAGGTTAGCCTCTTACAGGTGGCATTCCACCATGGCGATTACATGCAGAGGTTTCTTATTATCTCACCGCCCCTCTTACTTGCTACATCTAGGGATGTCAATTGGACTAGATTTGGTCCAATCCGATCCAGTCCAATGTGAGTCCATTATAAATGGATCAGGTTTAATCCAGTCCAATGAATATTTTGGACTGATCCAATTCAATGTTTGGACCATCTAATATGTTCAAATTTGTTTTGATTTAGATTGGTTTAAGCCCAAACCCGGTCCATTGATACCTATATTCTTATCTTATATCCATGGACTATATATTGGCTTAATCCAACCCAATCCAATATAGATTTATTACGGATGGACCAGGCCCAATCCAATCTACTAAATATTTTGGACCGAATTGGTTCAATCCAATATGTCCTGTTGGTCCGTCCAAATTGACTTTGGATCGGATGGGGTCCAATCCAAAATCGGTCCATTGACACCCTTAACTACATCATTCTCTTTGTTCTAAAAATCATGCTGCTCATTTTTTGGCTCCACATGGTCTTACTTTCTCTCAAGCTTGTACTTGGTCTCCAATTTCATATTTTTCTTGATTCATGTACTTTTTTGCTTACCCAGAAATCGAGCGAGATTTATGAAGGTGTCGTCAGGACTTTTTTTAAGGTTTCTTCATTTATGAGGGGGAAAGTTGGTCAATGGGATTTTTTTTTCCACTGACCAATTTTATAATGTTCTTTTTGCATTTAAGTATTGGGCCCCACTATAAAAAGAGTGTAAAATTTATCTGTCTCCCAAATGGATAAATAACTTTTCTCATTGAATAAAAAAATTTATAAAATATAATAAATAAGTTTGCCCTTTATAATATTGACTTTCATAGCTAAAAAGATGTCCTTATATTACTTATTTGGGAATCAATAGAACATGAATAAATGAACTTATTCGGGTAAATATTACTTAGAACACATTTATCTACATTTACTTGGATAAATAAGAAATTGATAAATAAATAGGACCTAAAAAAATATTAGACCCGATTATTAAATTGATGGCATTATTTATATCGGGTTGGAATTGAATTCGGACGAATATACACCATTTGCATTCAAAGGAATGTCTTAGAGCTCAGTATTGGGTATGCTACAGTTGCTCCACTAATATATGGAAGCTATGCACACACATCTTATATCTTATATATATATATATATAATCGCTTTGGTTTCATTGTTCCATCGTTCGATCATTTGATTTGAATGAATGACTTGTTTTGACAATAAAAATTATAAGTAAAAAATTATGGAATTGTTTTCGCCATCGATTTTCAATTCGAACGGACAATCCATTCTAACAACAAAAATTACAGGAAAAAAATTGAGTGTTTGAGGTCCATTAAGCAGTATAATACATGTTATGACATTCGAGTGCCAGACTCATACGACCCGAAAACATAACTGTTTTATTCATCAGTTTTTGGGTCAACTTCAACCGTTCGGTTCGAACAAACGAATGGCCCATTCTGACAATAAAAAAAATAAAAAATAAAAAAATGGCAAAAAAACATTTGAACGGGTCGATGGTTTGATTGCTCCGGTCAATGGGTCGTTGACCAATTCAACAATTTTTGGCCAAGGACCGGGATTGGGGTAAAACGGAACCGGTTGCCTAGACGATTCCCAATTAAAAAAATAAAAAAGGTGGTTCGACAATTTGGTTTGAACAGATGGCCTGTTCTAACAACAAAAATTACAGGCAAAAAATTGAGTGTGTGAAGTCAATTAAGCAGTATCATATGTGTTATGTCATTCGAGTGTGTGACTCATACGACCTGAAAATGGAACCGTTTTGGCCACTGATTTTCGGGTTGACGATTCGACCGTTCGATTCAAACGGACGGTCCATTCTGACAACAAAGATTAAAAATAAAATAAAAAATGGCCAAAAACCATTGAATGTGTCAACGGGTTGACGATTCGACCGTTCGATTCAAACGGGTGGCCCATTCTGACAACAAAGATTAAAAATAAAATAAAAATGGCCAAAAACCATTGAATAGGTCAATGGGTTGACGGTTCAACCGCCCGAGTCAATGGATCATTGACTGATTCAATGGGTTTTGGCCAAAGACCGGGTTGAGATAAAACGGAACTGGTTGCCTGGACGGTTCCCAATTAAAAAATAAAAAAAGGTCAAAAACCATTGAATAGGTCAATGGGTTGGCAGTTCGACCGTCGGGTCAATGGGTCGTTGATCGATTCAACGGTTTTTGGCCAGGGAACAGGATTGGGGTGAAATGGAACTAGTTGCCTGGACAATTCCCAGGCCAAAATGTCCGTTTGTCCGAGTCAACGGTGGTTTGAAAAACATGGGGTTTTGTGCTTTTGGATTTTCACTGTTCAAATGTTTCTTATATTATGGGCTTTATTTGAGTTTGTGCGGTATGTTCTTTTTTTTTTTCATTTTCTGCTCTTTTTTGTATTTGGTATTATTCTTCAAGATCCTCCAAAATGGTCTAGGGTTTACCATGATTTTATTTATTCCCTTTTGTTTTTTCTTTGGTTTTCTTGTGCAATGTTTTGTTTTTTATTTTCTTACAGTACGGTATGCTTTGTCTCTTTCTTTGATTGCATGTATGTTTTGCTTCGTCTCAAAGCATAAATTTGGACTTGATTTTATGATTTTTTTCCTTGGTTTTTCCAGTTTGGTGGATTTACCGCCAAATTTTTATGTGTTTAAGGTCACTTTGGATTTATTTTTCAAGGTTTTGGAATCTCTTGCAATATCCACCATTCCCATGAGTATAACTACAAAGTTATTTCGTATAATTATTAACATCTAGAAAAAATGACCTGGAAACGGAATCGCTCTGGCCACCGGTTTCTAGGTCAACAGTTCGACTGTCTGGTTCGAATGGGTGGCCCATTTTGACAATAAAAATTAAAAATAAAAAATGTCAAAAAACCGTTGAACGGGTTAACTTCCCGGGTCAACTGGGAGTTCTCGATGTGAAATAAATGACAACTATGAATTATAACTCAAAACTATCACTATATGATCATATTCTTTTATATGAGATGCTTTCTTGAAATAATATTTAAAAAATGAGCACATGATCATATATTTCAAGTCTTTATATGAGCTTTAAGACTTGGATACTTAAAATTTCTTATTAAAAAACCATAGAATTCAATCCGATTTCAATCCATTTATAATTATATCAAATTAATTTTTATTTCATTTCATTAATATTATATAATATTTTGATAATTTTATTTTAGTTTATTAATGTTATTCCTCATCATATAACAATCACATGCGATTTGAATCCGAATATCACCAAAAAGCTGGATTTTGGCATATACCATTCGACCGACCCGTTTACAGCGCTGTGAAACGGGTCTTGTTCAGTCACTTCAGTGAGATCGTGGGGGGGATGTATCGATAATCCCTGTGCGATCTTTCCCTTCTCACCTGCAATCCACGGTAAAGAATTATTGTGTAAATAATGTCATTTGCGCGCGACCATTTTGCAACAAAACTCTTTTCCAAAATCGAAAAACAGGCGGCACTTGCAGTCTTAGGGTTTTCTATTTTCTACCGGAAATGGAGGAAGAGAGTTGCAGAGGGTTGTAGAGACAGTTGAAGTTCGAGGCATCGAGCTTCGAATTTTCCCTCTTCTGCAGGCAGACTTGCGTCGGAACTACTTCAGTCAGAATCTTATACGTCTATCTCTCTCCTCCTTCGGCCATGGCGTCTACTTCTGCTTATTCGACTGGTAAGCCATTTTCATTGTTTTTAATCTTCTATTTTCAGTTCCACGTATTTGATTCTATGCTTCATTCGAACACACACCCCGTTGTATCGTCCACATTTCTGATATAGAGATGCAGGCTTCACTGTAACTTCCAACGGTCCAGTTTCTGCTCATTTAAGTATCTTTTTTTTTTTCTTAGGGTTTCTTTTCATTGTAATTTCTGAAGCAAGTCCTCTTTGGTCTTATAATGCACTTTGATACTCTACAATATACATTGATTTGCCACCATTTTTTTTTGTTTAAAAATATCACTTCGCTTTTTTAAATCTATTTCGTCCTGCTCTACATCTGAGAATCCCAATGAAAAGGCTATTCTCCAAACGAAAATAGGGAAATATACGTTTTTTTTTCCTTTAACCTGTTCCAACTTCGGTTAAATTGTTAATTGAGTTTGTGAGGAATTCTGTTTATACCGATGAGATGTTTGGTGCTGCATTCCAGCAATATCGTGATGCTTAGGTCGCCGGTTATATTCACTGAGATGCATAAAATTGGACATATATGTATTACTCGGGACTCATGAATGGTGCTGGCTTCATCAGGGAAGCAATAAAAATGTTTATGCTTATCAACTTAAAAAATGGTTACCATTTTTGTGTTTAATTCTATTGTCTTTTTTATTAATGAATACAGAGACGGTGTTTTTGCTAGTAAGATGAATGCTGAATTCAAATGATCGCTATATGTTTTCTACTTTTCTTCTATACATAGGACACTGAGTTATGAACTGCTACATTTAGTTATTTCATAAGAGGTAGAACATAGTTTGATAGTGTAAAGTACCATGCACCATGCATGACCCGTTGATTCAATAGTAGTCAGGATATAGCATACTATCATTATTATATGAAGTCAATGTAAAGAAACAAATTGGTTATTTTGTATTTCTTCTTACTATTTTTCAATTTCTATGTTTTTTTGGATACATATGCTGGAGAGTTGCAATTACCATGTAAGCATGACTTATGTAATACCATGGCACATGCCAGATATTGTCTATTGAATAGATTGTTTTGATAAGTTGTATGGTGTTGGGAACTTGGATTAGGACTAAATTCTATTTTATTTAATATTCTTAATTTTAATTTTCATCTGGCATTGTTTTTGTGGTCAGGGATCCTGGATGAGCTTCATGCTAGTAGAAGCAAAATTCCTTTTGTTACTCCCTGTAGTGGTGAATCTGTTGTGGAAGTATCTGGTTCACACATTTCATCTATGTTCAAGAAAAGAAGGATTTCCATGAGCACGGGTTTTACTTCATGCAATGATTTTAGTGAAACTGAAGCCTTTCTGCCTGTTTTGCATTCACCTGGTTATTTTATGGAGCCTTCCTTGAAGGAGTTGGCTGCACGGGAACTCAATGATCCTGGCTATTGCTGCCGTGTTCGAGATTTCACTATTGGAAGGGTTGGATATGGACGTGTTAAGTTTTTTGGAGAAACTGACATAAGATGGTTAGATCTAGACAGAATTGTGAGGTTTGATAGGCATGAAGTTGTGGTATATGAAGATGAAACCAATAAACCTGCAGTTGGCGAGGGCCTTAACAAATCTGCAGAAGTAACTTTGGTTCTTGAGTCATTATTCTTTCAAGGAGAACAACTGCATAACGTTGTGAACAAATTAAGAAAAAGCATGGAAAGGCAGGGGGCATACTTCATTTTGTTTGATCCATCGAATGGTGAGTGGAAATTCCTTGTTGACCATTTCAGCAGATTTGGATTGACTGAAGATGATGAAGATGATATTATAATGGATGATGCTGATACAATTCAGCGTCCTGGAGAGGCCACAAGCAGTGACATATGTGAGGTTGATGAAGACCTGCAAGAGGGGCCTTCTGGAACTGTTCTGTCCCATTCCCTCCCTGCTCATCTTGGGCTTGATCCTGTCAAGATGCAAGAAATGAGAATGCTGATGTTCCCTACAGAGGGGGAGGAGAGCGAAGACCTTGATGGGTCATTTTCACATGAGAAGCAGCACCTAAGAAAGGAGTACATTAGACCTGGTTTACAGTATTCTGCTCGGAAGGTCAGCTATAGAACTAGTCCACCCATTGTGCGGAAGACTCCTCAAGCTTTGCTTGAGTACAATGTTAATAGTTCCGACTCAAGCTCACCGGAAACCATTCTTATGACAAGGCAAAACAAGGGCTTGCCACTGAGGACAAGAAAAGTACAAGGTTTCAAATTGGATCTGAAGTATGAAACTCCAATAACTAGAATGCATTCTAGTAATATTGTTGATGCGGGATTGTTCATGGGAAAGTCATTTCGAGTTGGCTGGGGTCCTAATGGTATCCTTGTTCATACTGGTACACCTGTTGGTGTCACTGATTTTGGGATAGGATTATCTTCTGTGATCAATGTAGAAAAGGTTGCAATTAATAAAGTGGTCAGAGATGAAAATGACAGAGTAAAAGAGGAGCTTATTGATTCCTGTTTTTCTTCTCCACTTAATCTCCACAAATCAATAAAGCACGAGAAAATAGAAATTCAAGCTGGGTCCTTCAAACTAAACCTTCAAAAGCTTGTATCCAATCGCTTAGAACTTCCAGAGATATGCCGTAGTTACATAGAAATTGTTGAGAGGCAACTGGATGTTTCTGGATTATCAGCTTCTGCCCGTGTGGTTTTGATGCACCAGGTTATGGTTTGGGAGTTGATAAAAGTTCTCTTTTCAGCGAGGGAGATCAATGCAGATTCCAAATCACTGGATGCTGATGCTGATGAAGACATGATGCATGACAAGAAGGATGGTTCCCCAGACATTGAGCTGGAAGCCCTTCCCCTTGTTCGGAGAGCAGAGTTCAGCTATTGGCTGCAAGAGAGTGTTTGCCACCGTGTACAGGAAGAAATAAGCTGCTTGAATGAGTCCAGTGATTTAGAGCACATATTTTTGCTCTTGACTGGGCGGCAGCTGGATTCAGCAGTGGAATCGTCTGTTTCTAAAGGGGATGTGCGGCTCGCTTGTCTGTTGGCTCAAGCTGGTGGGTCTACAGTGAATCGATCTGATATGGCTCGACAGCTTGACCTTTGGAGAATGAATGGACTGGATTTCAACTTCATTGAAAAGGACAGAGTAAGGTTGTATGAATTACTTGCTGGTAATATTCAAGGTGCTTTGCATTCTTCAAAAATTGATTGGAAAAGGTATTTAGGGCTGTTGATGTGGTATCAGTTACCACCAGATACCTCATTGCCCATCATAGTCCGTACATATCAGCAGCTACTTGATGAAGGGCAAGCTCCATATCCTGTGCCAGTTTATATTGATGAGGGACCTCTTGAGGAGGCTGTGACTTGGAGCCCAGGGGATCGTTTTGACTTGGCATATTATCTTATGCTCCTTCATTCTACTGAAGAAAGTAAATTTGATGCTTTGAAAACCATGTTTAGTGCCTTCTCATCAACCTATGATGCACTCGATTACCACATGATCTGGCACCAACGTTGTATATTGGAAGCTGTTGGTGCATTTAGTTCAGATGAGCTTCATGTGCTTGACATGAGTTTTGTCTCCCAGTTACTGTGTCTTGGACAATGCCATTGGGCCATCTATGTTGTCCTACACATGCCCCACTGTGATGATTTACCATATCTCCAGGCTTCTGTTATTAGAGAAATTTTGTTTCAATACTGTGAAACTTGGAGTGCACAAGCAATGCAGCGTCAGTTCATTGAAGACTTGGGTGTTCCATTAGCCTGGTTGCATGAGGCAAGGGTATGTTACTTTCCTTGGTATTTTGATATTTCCAGATGTTGACTTCGTCATTTTATAGTCTGGAATAACCATTCATTGCTGGAAAGCTAATTGTCTTCTACCATTCTAAGAAAATTGTGCATGTTTAATCTGAGATCCATCTTCATAAATAAACTTGCTGCTGTAATAAATATTCTTTCCCTTTAATGCAGGCTACATATTACCACTATTATGGGAATATGTCAAAATCTCTTGAACATCTTCTTGAATATTCCAACTGGCAAAGGGCTCACTCAATTTTCATGACTTCTGTTGCTCATACATTATTTTTGTCAGGTAACCATTCTTTTTTTTGTTATTCCTCTTTTCCTTTCAGAAAATAATGTAGTTTCCTTGGATTATAATTGGCTAAAGAGAATGTACATGACAAGGAATTATTTTTTTTTACATGCTAAATGATTCAAATTTATCAAATCAACTTGCATTCAACTCATTCTTTTCCAGCAATTTAGTATATATATATCTATCTATATCAAGTGATGGATATTTTAGAAAATTGGATATATCTGATCTATTAATGGGAAAACAAACCATTAATTAGATGAAGATATTATTTTTATGGTGTCCATACTTGTATCGGAAAATATTATATTGAACAATTAAATTTTCTTATATAAGATTTCACGCCAATAGACAGCAAGAAGGGGGGGGGCAAGTTTGGGTTCAAAAGTCTGAAGATGTTAAGTTCTTAAAATGTGAAAATCATCAATGCTAAATTGTGTTTCTTTTACTCCACTTAACCAGATCATAAATTGGAGTATAAGCATGGAAAATAAAAATGGATACTTGTAGACTTGTAGTACCGAAATTTGAGAAGCTCCAAAGTCCTGCAATTTGTTTAAACGCCCCTTTTTTTTCTCTGCTTTTAGTTTCCTAGTAATTTATTTGAAGACAAATATGTTAGATAGCATAACCCTTTCTTACCTCTTGGCTCTTGGGTCCTTCCATCTCTTTTTCTGTCTATTTGTCTAGTTGCTTAATCACTCCCATGGAGGATATGTACGCGAAAAACATCACATTGTTGCTTTCCTTCTAAACATACTTTCTTCTAATCAGTCATAAAGACAATGGAACAACTAATTATCTCTTCCTCTTGAATCCTAGGTGTTAGGTGAGGTTGCTGAATATGTTTTTATTCTCTAACAGCTTATTTGTATTAAACTTGCTCCTGAAAAAATTTGGAATTCCTTTTACTTTGAACCAGTGGAGTTATTAGGGAACTTGTCATTTTTCCCAAAAGCATCTGCAAGTTGTTACTTAATCAATTCACTGATTTAATTTGTGGTTCAGTAGCTTATAGTGAACATGTAATTACATAATACTTCTGCATGCTTTTAGAGAGTTGGAAGAAAACGGAGGTCAATTTTGGAGGAAGAAAGAGACACCCACAGGAGGGGCTGTTTGCTCCTTTTGATTTCAGCTTTTGCTGCTGAGTTTTTTCTTATGTGGTATTTCTTCTGCATTAGGATGTTTGTTTGTTCTCTTTGGGGGTGATTTCTTATAACTCCTGTCGTACATCTTTCTTTCTTCTTAATGAATTTTCTTTTTTATTTTTCTTCATAAAAAAACTTCTGCATGCCTTTTTGATCAATAATACTTATTTATGATTTCATAATATGCATATTTTATTTATTTATTTGTTTTTGTTGCTTAGGCGATAGGACTGTAAATGGGTCAGATTTTCATCAAATCTACCTAATTTGAATCTGACCCTATCAATATTTGAACTTGAATCGGATTTGATCTGTTGGCTTTTGATTGTACTCTGATCGGATTCAGTATTATGTATTAGTAATACATTAAACTACAAAATGATCAAAATCATATTTTAGTAATAAAATGAATTGGAAACAGATTAGATATTATACTATCTTTAGTAGAAAGCATTAAAATAACTTACATGAGACCTGAACTTATGAGCCTTTTATGAAAATATGATATTTAAACCAGCTTTATCAATGCAAATATGTTAATTCTTTTATATACATGCTAATGTTATTGGACTTGGATCTTAATTGGATTTGATCAGGGTGGATCCAGATCCAATCCAATTATAAATGTATCTGAATTTTTGACATCAAAATCTGGTTAGATTAAATTGAATTGTGAACTTGGACTTCGATAATAGGACATTTTTGACAGTCCTACTAGGAGATGCCTTGCCTAGCTGCTTTTAAGTGCCCCGATTGGTTTTATATTGATTTGTTTCAACTGTAATCTTGGTTAAGTTTGCCTCCTATTAAGTAGGAAAGGAGCATATTCCCACATAAATAATTAAGATAAATATTCTGTAATTGTAGTCAATTAGTTACATTGGTGAGGTTCTAACTGTGCTGAATGATTTTGCTCGTTTAGTCTAAAAGAATCTTTTGTTTTTTGGCTATAGTTTTTTGGTCATTTTATTTGTCATTGACAATTTTTTGTTGTCTTTAATTGGTGCAGCTAATCACCCAGAGGTATGGAGGCTTGCACATACGATGGAAGAGTACAAGTCAGAAATTGCAGATTGGGACTTGGGTGCTGGAATCTATGTGTCTTTCTACTCTCTAAAAGATGCATTGCGAGAAGAGAATACCATGAGTGAATTGGTGAGATAATCTATCATTACTGTCAGGTGTACATATCATGAATGAGAATTTAAATTTATCATTACCTGTAATTTCTTTCAGAAGTTTGGTTGTAGCATGGTAAGATTGCTAAATGTTGAGAATTGGTGGGCGTGATATGATTGATTTACCAAAAAGAAAAAAAAAGATAAATTTATAAAACTACTGGGTGGTGCGTACATGTTTTAATCATTATGTACATTTTCAGGTAACTTGGATCCAAGTGGTTGCCCAGAGGGTTAGGTGCAAATTGAGCCTAATCATATGAAAATGCTTGCCAGTTGTCACAAGAGCCAATGAATCCATAATTGCATATGAGATGGATTTGAAAGCTTCCTAATTAAAATACTTTGTTAACATTGTACTCTAATACAATTTGGTGATAGATTCATAGTCTAACACAATTTGCTGATAGAGTATTCCATTGAGAGAGGACTAGAGGAGGCAACCAAAACTATTGTAACTGGAGAAATGCAATCTCAATTCAACTGAACTCAACTAAGCCTTTTCCGAACTACATGAATCCTGTTCTACCATTCCACTCTATATCAGTGCCATATCCATTGTTAAATCCATTACTAGAAATTCCGCCTGCACCTGGGTTTGGGGGGGGGGGGGTTATGGGTTGGGGGATGGGCCACCCCCATTATGTAGCCCCTTCAAAAGATATCAAAATTCCTCAATTTTTATTGTTGTACATGGCTCCATGAATTCGCCATCTGGTAATTTATTCTAGGGAACTCTTTCATTTTTTTTTGATCAATAACAGATTCAATAAATTCATTGAAACAGCAGAAGAGTAGGGAACTCTTTCATTTCAAATAATTCATCATCGAACTCCAAATGGAAATTGTTTGCTTTAGTCATGTGGGAACGGAATACAATATGTGTGGAAAGAAAACCTTGGCAAGATTCTCAATTAAATCTGTATCTGTTGCCATGGACATTCCTACTCAATATTTTTTTTTTGAAATCAAGTTGGTTTTAATGGTATTATCTCATCTTTTGGCAGACATTTCCTATGAAGATAAATAACATAACCTTGAAAATATAGAAGAACGGATGATCAATACTTACCTGTTACTAACTTTTTACCTGATGCTTGTTTTTAGGTGAATTATGCTTTATAATACTTAGTATTGAAACTTGCTAGAAAGAGGCTTGTGCAGTCATTCCTCTAGTTTGATCACAATGCTGGCTATCCATTCTTCTACTTCTATTTATCTTTTCTGAGCCCTCCTGATATATCAGTTATTATTTTTTATTGAACAAAGCAATTGATAATTTGATATTTAGTTGCTGAAAAATGCATAGTCCTATTGTCATGGGGCACCATTTTTTGCTGTTGAAAGCTAATAAATACTTTTTAAAATCTGTCTTAACTTGCTAGTTGCTAGGTTGTCAATTTGCAATAATAATATCCCCCCATCCCGAAAAAAACAGGACTATTAATTTGAGTCTAGTTTACTAGTGGAGAGTGGAGACACCTTGGTTATCTGATGCCCTAAAGTAATAAATAAATCACTTTTTGGCCCTTTTATTGACTCCATTAATTACATCACACTAGGAATCTAAATTCCTATCTGCCACCCCCAAAATAGTTTGTCACTTCCCTTGGTGTATATCTATATTGCCATGGACTATTCATATTATCACTTAGCCATAAGACATCCTAGTACAATAAGGGAGTCACCTTCATAGTTGTCAAGGCAATGCCTAGGTGGGCAACTAGGCGCTTTTCAAAGAGCGCCTCGCCCAAATGCCAAGAAAAATTGTATTAGGTGCATGCTTAGGGGACTGAAACACATATATAATATACAATATTTATTAAATAAAAATAAATATAAAATATATAATATTTTATTGGTTGGTTTTAGTTTTTATAATAGGACATGTTGCATGTTATCATGTTTTTGTTGTAAGTAAAAGCAAAATAATCTCAAGGGTTTCACTTTGACAAAAAAATCGAACTGAGGAAGAGGAGAGAACAACAGCCCTCCATCGTTCCGACACAGTCCTCTAAGTCAAGGTGAGTTAATCAGTTTCCTCCTTCATTTTGTTCTCTTTTTTCCACTGGTTTAAAACAATGGTTACGCCCATTTTTCTCCTCCCTTTTTGTTGGACTAAAACCATTCTCCTTTCCTGGTTTGAATCATATTGTTGGACTAAAACAGGGGCTCCGCCCCCTTCTTTTCTTCTTAAATTTCTTGCGTGTTTTCAGCTTTTTTCCCTCATTATTGGTGTTGGAAACAGGGGCTCCGCCCCTTCTTTTATTCACCATATTCTTCTTTTATTTTAGTTTTTTTTTTTCACCAGCTTTTCTGGGTCTAGAACAGGGGCTCTGCCCTCTTCTTTTGTTCTTAACTTCTTGCATTTTTCAGCTTTTTTTTTTTTGTTTTCATCATTGGTGTCTGAAACAGGGGCGGAGCCCCTTCTTTTCTTCTTCATATTTTTTCTTTTATTCTAATATTTTTTTACCAGCTTTTCTGGGTCTAGAACAGGGCCTCTGCCCCTTACTTTTCTTCTTTTATTTTAGTAATATTTCTCATCAAGAAACACTGCAAGAAACACAAGCACAAAAGTAAGTGCAGAATACATAAAACCAAAAAAACTAGTTCAGAAGGGGTATCCATTGGCTTCTTATTTTTAAATTCCATTGCCTAGGTGAGGGCTAGGTGCCCGCCTAGGCACCTGGGCGCCCCATTGTCGCCTAGCCTCGCCTTGGTGCCTTGAAAACTATGGTCACCTTCTACCATTAAGTTCTCAAATTGGAAATTGCAATAACTTTCTTAATTTCAGTCCTTGATGCAGAGAGACTAGTTCTGCCCTTGTTGAACCACTTTGTCCTATAGGTCCTGCATAGATTGCACGGATCAGAGAAACTGTTTTCCCATTAGTTTGATAGGGGGTGTTTGACAACATGATTGGTTTTGTTTTTCAAAAGAAAATCATACATGTTGGCATCTTGGCGGACACCCCCTTGGTGATTCTGAGTGGATGCCAGGAAACAACTGCTTATTTTTAGAGGGGCAAATCCCGACCATCTTCCTACACTAGATTGAAGCACATCCTGACAAATTGTTTTGCATTTGTTAATGCTTTAGAGCTCCTTTTTATTTGATCTTTAGTTATTTGACAGCTCATTACTGTCTATATTTGCATCTGTAACCATTTCCAATTTTTATTTCTGTCCTGGCTGAGAGGTGAAGCTGCACCATGGGACTTTAGATACCAGATTCAAAAAGCAAGACTCCTAGCTTATGACTTGGGGGGTAGACTTTTCTTTGGTACCTTGGTCAGACAAATCTATTGTGGATTCATTAGATCATGAAGGAGTTGATAGGCTGTTTCTGAAGTGGGATGGATATAATTTGGATTGGTTTTGTTTTATATGAGTTGTCTTAGAAATGATGGGGAACTGTATTCGTAAAATTTATCAATAGAGGGGCCATTTGCTTGGTGTAATGGTAAAATCTCAGGCTGACATGCGTGAGAATGCAGGTTTCAAGCTTGATATTTGAGAGCGGCCACTTTGCGCAAAAAGTGCCAATAGTTAGATTCTTAGGTCCATATCCAGTCTACCCTTCCCATGACAAAAACATTGGGCAATATTTTTTTGGCTTTAGATTACATTTGATGATATTGAATCTTTTATTGCTTTTTATTAACTTTTCCTCAATGTTACGATTTTGTCTAGGGCTGGACAAGCTAGACACCTGTGTTAAGAGGTGTGGGAGATGTACGACTGGAGGCTTGCCTCCAGGCAAGGCGCCCCTAAAATGCCAGAGACGTTGATACCTCTGAGCTGTATGCCTCATATGCCTTTTTCATGACGTGTGCTAAAGGTGCATGTCTCATGTGCCTCACACACACCTCATATAACCAAACAGAAAAAAGGAAAACGAAAGAAAAAAGGAAAGGATAGGAAAAGAAAGGGAAAGGAATGAAAAAGAATGAAAGAGAAGAAAAAAAGAGAAAAGAAAGAAAAGGGAAGGAAAGAGAAGGGAAGGGAAAAGAAAGTGGGCTGGGGGGCTTTGCCCCCTCGCTTCACTTGCTTGCCTCCGCTTCAACAAGACCCCTCCTTCAGCTAGTGTTATGCATCTTCGTTCTTCTTAACATAAAAGATTTTTATTAAAAATAAAGAAAATTGAGATTCTCCTTCCTCCTTCCTCATTCCCCTCCACATAAGGAGGCTCGCACCTCCTTGTGTTTGGGATGCATGCATCTCTTACAGTTTGAACTATGCCCCATGCCTCTACGTAGTGGACCATTTTGCGTCACACATCTGCATTTTAAAACATTGCCAGGTATCATTATGTTGGTAATGCTTTCAGTTCTTTCAACAACATTTGGATTTCGGGGGGGGGGTGGCTACCCCTTTTTCTGTAACACCAACAGATAAGTTATTTGGATTTGTTGGAACACCTTTTTTTGACAAGTAACAGCGCATATTTTTTACTCAACAAAACCATACTACCCAAAAAGATGGATAGAAGGGAAAATATACAATGTATACAAGGTATCAGATACGACTTACCTGAGGATGTAGGTTCTCTTGATCTGTAGGTGAGGGTGGTGGGTTCTCTTTTTCATGGCCTTTGATTCCTCTTTCCTATTTGTTTGGCTGTTTAGGGAGAATGAAATAAAAAACTTATGAGAGTTCAGAGTTGGTGCTCTTAGTAGCTTATGAGGATGTGCAGATCTTAGTAGCTTTTTGATGAAATAGGGTTTAGCAGTTAACGATTTATGGGGCTTTAGGCTTAGAAAATCTGTTCTTTATTGGTAGTGTTTTGGGTGCAGAGAGCTGTATGATATGAAATTTCTTTTTGGCTTTGGACCTTTTTTGTACATTTTGCACTTCAATATATACATATACATATTGGTTATTCTTTGAAGGAAAAGTTTTGATATAAGAAGGATCTATATTGAAATATTTTTCTGCAAAAGTCTCGTGTGTCCTTAACATGTTTAGTATACATAAAATCATGATCTTTTTCTTTCTCTTTCTGACACAAAATTGCATTGTCTTTTGCAGGATTGTCTTGAGAGAAAAAATGATGCATGTAGGGATTTTTTTGGTCGGTTAAATGAATCATTGGCAGTCTGGGGAAGCAAATTACCAGTTGATGCAAGGTAGTTATATTCTCTCATCTCAACTTTAACTATATGCATAATAGTTGCATACACACGTTGCATATCCATACTCATGGATGTATGCTCTGGAATGTTTCTCTTTTTCCTGCTTTGGAACTTCTTCCCCTGCTGTATCTCTAGGTCCAAGCTTCACTTACAGGATAACTACCATTCTCAGTCAATTTGAGTGTATCTTAATCTTTCTTAGTCCAAATTTTTATGAAGATTCAACTAATGTCACTCTGCATTCCATGCTCAGTACATAAATGGTAACTTACCAGTCCTTTAATCAGTTTTCCCATGATGGGCAAATCATGACCCAATAGTGGAGCTTCCTGATTTTTCTATTTCAGTGAAGTGTTGTTTTCTTTATACTATTTTCTTTACCCATAACCCATTTTTGTTTTTGATCAATTACTATGGTTGCTCACTGATATCAATTTTCAGCTCTGGCCCATCCTACATTTTTTAGAGGTGTGGCAACCTGAGGTTAGTGTGCCTATTTGAATATAGGGTACAATAGATACAAGTTCTCTGTTATTGCCAAAGTTTTTTAGTATTTTTTGGTTCTTGATTTGTTTACTTGGACCTTATAAACTGCATTGTTGTGGGATTCATTTCCTTGCAAGGGTGGTTCTTGCCAGCTGAGATAGCCACCCAATATTACGTTCATGTGGTTTACTACCTCTATATGCCACTCTCCAATTATTTCACAATGTTGCAAAAGAGCTGCCTCATCTCTGTTTCTTTGAAAAAAAATTGTAACACAATCCAAAAAGAAAATCCTAGCCCTCTCTTTTCCTGAGTATTCTCTGTTAGATAATCCTATTTTTATGTCAAGCTTCGGCATAAGGTCCAAGTAAACATTGCTCATAATCCTATTTAGTATTTTTTGTTTCTTTTTATTATTGCCCTAAGCATACTACTAGTCTCACCTAAGGTTCAAAATTGTCACATATTGGAATATATTGGGCGTATCATAACGTTTCAGTAGCACCTTGATATGTCTAAATAAAATACATATAGGGTTTTTGGCAATTTCAGGGGGTGGGCAGGCCTAAGATCCACCTCCCTGGAAACTTTTGAAAAAGAACAAAAAAAAAAGGATTGCATGCCTTTGAAACACCCGACACTCAAGGTTCATGTGTATTAGGTGTATCGATATTTTGAACCTTGGTCTCAATGCTGTATACACTGCATTTTTCTATTGTTACCCTATGCAGTATGATACTGCATAACATGGCATTCTTTTAGGATATATTTATACAAGTGGGTCTGCTAGTTGAGTCATTTAGTGAAGTAGGCCGAATGAAGAAGGAATCGCCCACATGATAGATTAGTTTGGGGCTGAAATGGGCCTACGGCTTCCTCTTGCTATCTTTTTTAATGGGCCCATTTTGAGCCTAAAACTCTTGCTACATAGATGGAATTAAAACCTCCTTTATGGAACAGTTTAATATTAAAATGTTGATGATTAATAATTGTTGGAAGCTGGATTGATATGGACTGAAAGGGATCAAGTGGCCAACCTAGATATCCCTTGCTTTGTAGACAGCTTGGATTGGCTACATGATCCATCCATGTGGCAGATATTGGAGGCAATATCCCTACTTCACCCGATTAGGGGACCTTTTCCCACACTCCCTTACACATTTGTGTTGTAGTTAAGCCCTCCATGTGCAGAGCTAGTTGAGGGCCTCATGATTAGTGTTTAGGAAACCGGACCGGGTTGGCTGGCTGGACTGGTTGAACCATGACTAGGGGCACTGGCTGATTTGGTCACACCCCAAGATCTGGGATTCTTAAAAACCCTGTAAAAACCGGCTGGCTGGCTGGTTTAACTGAAAAACTAGTGAACCGGTCCCAATTTCATGAAACCACCTAGGTCATTAAATAATAAAACAAGTGTGACAAGACTTAAACCCATGACCTCATATTTTCAAGTATCGCTTAATTTCCATTTGTGCACTCTTTATTTGTGTTAATTAACGACTTTTTGCTGTATGTATTATTTTATTACACATGTATTTTAAAGAAAATGTGAATTAAGAGGCTTGAACCCTGTTCATTTGCTTTAAAAATTAAGGGATTTGTCATCCATCTACCATATTTAAGTATGGTAAAAGTTGTAAAATCTATTATATATAGTATTTATATGACCTGTAGTATATATACATACGTATATGCTGTCGTCATGGTTCGACCTCTGGTTTGATCCCGGTTAAACCTATGCCCTGTGAACCTCTCCTTTTTCCGGTTTTATGCCTGGTTCAGTTCTTTGAACATTGCTCATAATCCTTTTTGCTTTTCAAAATCCATTATGACAGGTGGAAAAATGGTTCTTTCAAAAGCGATGAGAAAAATGTTATAAACAATAGCAATTAATTGTGATTTTAAAATATAATCAGTAAATATACTAATAAGTGAGATGGTATTTAATATTTTCTTTCTTCGAAGGACAAAAAGGTTTAACAGGAGTCATTAAGGGGGTGTTCTACACCATGAATGTTTTGGTTTTCATTTGTTTTTGAAATCACCACATCAGTAGAAAAACAAAAACATTTCTTTTCTGTTTTCAAAGAGAAAAACAAGTTAGTTTTGTTTCAAAAAAAAATAATAAATGTTTTTGGAACCATGAAAACAATGGTTTTTAAGAGAAAAAATTTTTAGTGTTAGAAATTGTATGATTTATGGAACATGATAGATATTAAACAACCAGATGAAAACATGTTTTTGAAACTTGAAATTCAAGAACATGTTTTTGGTTTCAGTTTTGAAAACACATACACATGTTTTGTTTGTGTGTTTTTGTTTTGAAAAAGAATCTGTTTGCAAAGCAGATGGTTTTTATTTGTTTTTGAAATCGGCCAGTAAAACTACTCATGCTGTAGAACGCCCCCTAATAGTACTCCTGAATCAAATGGGCAAAATTGTTCTTGAAATATTAGGACGCAATGCTATGCTTTAAGGTAGCGACATATGCCATTGCATTGCATATCGACCAAAATGCATATGTTCCAATTGCAGCATACAGAGTTAGGTGTTCTGTCTTGTATTATTCGCATATTTGTTTAGCATTATTCTGTTTATATATTCGAGAAAACTTGCCTCATCAAGCTTATCAACTTCTTATTTCCTACTATCTCAATTTGGCCTTTAAAGATGGATATGCAAGATGGGCTTACTAGTTATTTCCAAAATTGGCTGTTTTACAAGGTTTATTATCTATCACTGGACAAAACCCATTTTGGAAATTGCAATTAATGCTATTCTGTTCATTTCCATTTGAAAGTTTTGAGTTGGTTGTACTTTTACGGCTTTACCTGTCGGAATGTCACTCACCTTGAGTGTCCTAGCAGACCTTAGGTACTAAAAAATACCGTCTCTCGTGATTTTGAACTTTTCTGTTTACGGAATGTCAGGATTGGAGCTATGCTTATTTTTTCGTTTGTTTGTTTTCCTGGATGAGAAATTAGCAAAATTCACCCTTCCTGGTTTACTGACATTGATTTATTTCCCCCTTCTTGGATGGTTCAGGGCGACTTATTCGCTGATGGCTGAAGAGATATGCAATTTGCTACTATCAGACAGCGGGGAGGGCGCAACTCGTGAGGTTCAGTTGAGCTGCTTCGACGCCATGGTTAGCGCTCCTCTACCAGAAGACCTGCGCTCATGTCATTTGCAGGACGCCGTGTCGCTGTTTACCTCCTATCTTTCAGAATTAGCTTCATAGTTTTCTTTTTTTCTCTCGTGTAACAATTCAAATCATATCTAATATATATGCGTTCTTTTTATCCTCGCTGATTTATGTGTCTCCACGTTCTGATTTCAGTTGTATCTCCAGTATATCTTCATGCATGCTTTATTGCTTACAAGAGGAAAATCCATGACTGAGATCCGAGGATTGTAAGTTGTAACCATATAAGCCCTAACGTATTCATAGAAAAGCCTACATGCGACTATGCTAAATGCCGCATACATGCGACTATGGCATTCCTCCCTGTTGGCTGGTCTTGACGTGATTTAAGACCATCCAATGTGGGAATAATCGTGTAGTCACTGATGGCATTCCTCCCTGTTGGCTGTTGCTAAATGCCGCATACATGCGACTATGCTAAAAATTAACCAAATGGCAAATAGGGCAATAACGTGAGATCATGACCACAGACCACCATGCCACGTGGTAACTTTTAGATGTTATATTTGCCACGTTGCATCATGATACCATATTGGGCCGTTTACAAAGATGAAGCAGCAGCAGTGTGGCAGTATCACCACTCATCACCCTCTCACAGTTATCACTTCTCTTAATTACATCACCGAATAAAGAAATGAAATTGAACGGTCTCAACTCTCAATCAGGAGCCCGGATCACGGGGGTCAGGGGGTGGTGTTTTAGATCTGGAGTCCTCAATCAGACATGGAATGTTGACTTTTGGACTGTTGGATTTCTCTTTTTAATCTTTATCCTTGGGCTGTGGCTTGATGGTGGGAGTGGGACCCATCCGTTTCCTATCCTTGTTCCCTGTCTTGTTCGACAGTATTTATAACCATTTTATCGAATCAACCAATTGACACATATAAACTATAGAAGAACCCTAGGCTACCTTTTCCTGTGCATCTCCTCCTCCTTTCTCACTGGAAGCTTCTACTGAGACGCTTCGTGCTTTCTGTTCGTCTAATTTGTATCTGATATCTCCGTAAATGGCCAAGAAACGAAAGGTCGAGAGAGAGCTTGACTTGTTAGGCGCCGAGCCTGACGCAAATGGTTCCGACGAGGAGGCAGGAGAAGAAGAGGAGGAGGAAGAAGATATCACGAAGGTTCTCGAACCCTTCAACAAAGAACAACTCATCGATCTTCTTCGCTGGGCCGCGTCGAACGATCCCAAAGTTCGCGACGAGATCAACCGAGTTGCAGACCGCGACCCAGTCCACCGTAAGCTCTTCGTCCATGGGCTTGGTTGGGAAACCACCTCGGAGAAGCTCCGGGAGTTTTTCTCCCAGTATGGTGAGCTCGAAGACTGCAACGTCGTCGTTGATAAAGCTACTGGTAAATCGAAGGGCTATGGATTCTTACTCTTTAAGCACCGTCGTGGCGCAACAAAAGCCCTGAAAGAGCCTCAGAAGAAGATTGAGAGTCGGATGACCGCGTGCCAACTTGCGTCGACCGGTCCTGTCAATCCTTCTCATTCGAATCCGAGCACGCACGCCCAGCAATCGCAGCAGACGCATCTGGGCTATCATCCATCACAAGATACGCTAGCAAGGAAGATTTATGTGGGTAACGTACATTCCGATATTCCTTCTGATAAATTGCTCGCTTTCTTCTCCAAGTATGGCGAAATTGAAGAGGGTCCGCTAGGTTTCGATAAACAGACTGGGAAATCTAAAGGATTTGCACTTTTCATTTATAAGACTACTGAAGGGGCGAGAAAGGCATTAGAAGAACCAAATAAGAGCTTTGATGGGCACCAGTTGTATTGCCAGAAGGCGACCGATAGCCACAAGCTCAGGGCCGCTGCTGCTGCAGCTTCTGCGTCTGGGAATGCACCTAGTAGTGGTGGGTTTAGTGCACCGAGTGGCGGTGGGTTCAATGCCCCGGGTGGTATTGGTTTCGGGGGTCTAGGTGGTGCTGGTTTCAATGCTTCAGATGGTTCTATGGCTCACCAAGTTTCCGCAGCTCCTGCTGCTTTATTAGGTCAGGGTCTTCTAGCAGGTGGCCTTCCATTTGGCCAGGGCATCCCACCGAATCAGGCGGCTCTTGCTTTACTGGCTGCTGCTGGGCAGAATCCTGCTGCATTTGGAGTTCCTCCAGCTGTTATTGCATCGTTAAACCCCGCCTTGGCAGCCGCGATGAATGCAGGCCCCCAACCAGTGGCACCATCAACAATGCCCCAGACAATGACAGGTTATGGAATGGGGAACCCAGGGTATCAGAACCCACAAACTCATCAGGCTAACAACTATCAGAGTGGCCCAATGGGGCAAGGCCCCGCCCCACATTCTGCTATGGGAACCATGGGAGGATATGTAGCACGCTAGGTATGATCTTCTATTCAGTTGGTCTCTTTAAGTTTATGGTTTGAGGATTAACTGCTTTCCGAAATTTCTTCGGCATTTGGTAGTTGCTAATCTCATTTTACTTTGTTTTTAGTCTGATTATATGGAACGTGATTATTCGTCTTGCTTTAAAGAAAGGATGACTTTTGAGCTGTGGCCGCCTTGGGGAACGAACATGTTGAGATGCATCGATTATTCAGAAAAGGAACTGCTTTTATTTTAGTTTTTTTCATTTTTTCTTTTGATCTTTTTATGGGTGTATTTGTTATGGGAATTTTCCATGTTGTACATTTTCTTAGAAGTTTTGCCGAGTTCCTGTAACAAATACTATCTTATTTCATTTTCTTACTTGTTTTTGGTCGTGAACTAAGTTTTGGAGGCTTATAATGAAGATGATTTTGGACAAACCTTGCCGGATTATTTCTTTACATCCTTATTTTTGTTTTAGCGTTGTTAACTTTGAAAAGGTTGCTATTGTCGACTGCATTGTGAAAAATGGTTTAAGATCTGTCATGTTTGATACATTTGGTGCCTCTCATTTTCTGCAGAGGAATTTATTCAGTCAAGGTTAACTAATTATACCATTTTCTGCCAAGCTAATTATACTATTTAATTGTATATGCACTTCATGAACTGAGTTTTCATATTCTGGTGCTTCACTTTGGTAACATTCAATAGGTTTAGTTGTGCAACATGGCCTGTCTTGCTTCACAAGATTCTTGTTATAGTCAATTAGACATTCAAAATGATGGATCATGCCTTCATAATGAATGAGGAGACTTTTCAACAAGATTTTGATATGACACATCATTTCATGTCATGAAAGGAGGATTCAAGGCTTCTATACCTTTTCAATGTAAGTATCTTTGAGCTACTTTTCCTTTGGTGTTGGCTATCATCTTATTTTCCATGTTAACACGTATACTTGCTTGTGTAGCTTGTGCTTATGCTATGTCCCCCCTTTCATGGATAAGCTACTATTATTTTTTTTCTGACTGCTACATACACTATTTATTGCTTGGGGCCTTGGGGAACTTCTATCTTATGATTAGAGTTTGCTGGTGCCTGATTCAGTGGTTTGTGGTTCCATTTGTTAAAGTTCTAATGAGATGTTGAAACTGCATGGGAATATTTTCTTGTGGGTTTAGTTAAATTAATGCATTACTTCAATACTTGACTGCTAATGGAGCTTAAAGTACACATGTATATACTTGATTTAATAGTATTGGCTTGATGTAAACTATCATTACTTGTTTGATAAGAATATTATTTCGTCTCTTTCATTTCATTTGGCTAGGAAATTTAAGGGTTTCAAATTTATTTTATGCTTAACTTTAGTCATTTTAATTTTCTTGATGGGTAAAGCGTCTGGAGTAGGCCAGGTTACCCAGATTTTACTGTACTAACGAGACCCAGTTGTACCAACCAGACCAGGCAGACCCAAATGCCAAGGCTCTGCGACTCAGTATGGAACCACATCCTGGTTCATTTGTTTTGGGACTTCACTAATGAAGTCATTCCCTTGATCTGAACTTGAGACCTGCTGCCTGTGAGTGGGAACCAACTGCCATTGAGCTACATGTGGATTGGTTAGTTATTCTCGAACTTTTATGGGATGCAACTTAACTTGGTGTAGCCCTATCTATGTGTCACAATGTCTATCTTCTATTGTTAAATCTTGTATAGTTACTTGTTTAGATGATAAGCTTTCCCAACTGGAATCCTCTAATTGCACAGTGGTCTGGAGAATCTTTAGATAATAGGTAATTGCTCATTTTAAGCCTTTATATAATTTACACATTAAATAAAGTGTAGTTAGATGTTAATACTATTAGTTCTATAATTTAACCACAAGTTAATTAAAATGGGCTAACTCGTTAGCAAAACAAGGTACAACCAGGGAAGAGTTCTTCTGGAGTCAATATAATGTAATATTGGAAAATTGGGTTGGGAGGGGACTGCCAAGCCCTGGTTGTGTGCTCTTTTATTTATTTGATAGGACTCATTCTTGTAGTAGAGCCATAATTTCAGCTCTCAGAGTCTCCCACACCTATGGGACCAGAATATGGTGCCATCAATCTGCCCTCCCCATCCTTGAAGACTCCCCCAGCTTCAGAGGGTCCTGGATTACCCAAGGAACTTCCGTCAAAGTTTAATTTTACCCTTTGTTGAGTTGCAGGTATCCAATAAGGCTGAAACACAGGCTGTCTAGTTGAAGAATTTGTCACTGTTGACCACTCCCTTAGCATATCATCCACTAAAAAGTCCTTGAACAAGTCAGTAGCTTCCAGCCAGTGTATAACTTTAATGGCTATGCAGTGAATGACTTGTTCTTTTGATCTTTCTACCCTTCAGTTGCTCCTTTTCTTCCATAAAGACCAAAGGATGGCTGCTCTTGTTGCCCTCCACACCACCTTACCTCTTTTCTTTGATAGTGTGAAGAAACTTGGGTCAAAAAGGCTTGCCACATCCGGGGGTGGGGTCCACTTACAGCCAACAAGGGAAGAAAACCAATTTCCCACAAAAGAAGCAAACGGACAGGATAGTAATAGATGTTTAATTGTCTCATCATTTCCCAAGCAAAGGCAACAAGCATGAGGAGAGAGGCAGTAAGCCCGTAATTTGGCCTCCTTTTGTGTAAATTATCTATACTATTGATTTTTTGGAGCACCACCTCCCAACAAAAGGCTCTTATTTTTGGAGGTACATGATTACACCAAACTTCCTTTGTAGGGAAGGAACATACCAGGTGTGAGGATTGAAGGAGGGCATAGTAAAAGGAAGTATAGGTAAAAGAGCCAGAAGGGGACACCGACCAAATTCTACTTTCCTAACAAGAACAATCCAAGAAAGCACTACTAAGAAGGGAATGAGATAATCTACTAGGCCCATTTGAGATTCCTTTAACCATCTCCTTAATTCCAGACCCCGGGAGTTTTCATTAGCATGCACAGAAGAAATCACTCTCACTTTGTTGAGGGACAAGTAGTAGATAGGTGGAAATTTGTCTTTAAGAGGTGTATCCCCATGCCAGACATCTTCCCAGAAACACACTTTATTGCCAGCACAAGCATCATACTTGATATATGAGAGAAAAGAAGGTAGCAAGCTATGGATTGCTTTCCAAGGAGATGCCCGTGTGTGATGCCCTAGGATAAAACCAACATCCTATCCGTCGTTTGCTAAGTCATGAATGCTTACAATTACATTATGCCACAAGTTTTCTTGTTCCAAAAAAAAACCTTCATAATCATTTATGTAGCAATTCCTAGTTCCTGAGTTTTATATTTCCTATCCCTAGGCCTTCACTATCCCTGCTCCTTGGTACCACCTCCCACTGTCCCAAATGATCCTTTTTTTGTATCCCTTGTCTCCCACAAAAAATCCCTCATCAATTTCTCTAGTTAATTGGCCACTTTTGTAGGGATCTTAAAAGTAGATAGGTAGTAAACTGGCAAATTAGTCAAGGTTGACTTTATTAGAGTTATCCTACCCCCAAGGAGATATAACTTCTCTTCCATCCTGCAAGTCTTTTTGTGAATCTTTCCACTAACGGATCCTGAAAGCTATCAAAATTTGGGTCCCCCCCAAAGGGTAATCCCAGGTCTATTTCCTAGAGAATTATAATTTGTATCTACAAGTATAAGCTATAAGTTACTATTTACAAGTTTGAAGACCAAATTTTGCTAGAATGTCTTGAACTGATTTTGCAAGGGAGTATGTTAGAGACGAGAAGGGGGGAAATGCTATATCTATTTTGCACTTTATAGCAAATTTCGCATAGGAGGTATAAGCCACTTGAGGGTGGGTCTTGACGCAATGGTTGGGTTGCCCTATTGCGACCTGGGTGACCAAAGTTCGAATCTTGGAAACAACTTTTGTATGTGCAGAGGTAAGGCTGTGTACATCTGTTCCTCCCTAGACCTCACATTGGTGGGAGACTCATGCACTAGATTGTCTTCTTTTAGGTATAAACTGGTTAAAACATCATTGGGCTGGCACCTAGCATGAAGTGAGTGAATGTAAAAGTTGCTTGGAAGAGGTATAATTAAGGTGCTGAAATGCATTGACTGAATTTGAATTGGAGAAAAAGAAGGTAGATTTTATGTGTAGTATTGAGAGGTTTAATACTACAGATACACCTCTTACGACTCAGACACTGAATTCATAGTGGAAAAAAGAACAAAAAAAGCGATCTTGATAGGGCCGTTGGAAAATACTTTTATGCCAATGTTTTATCATTTAATTTGACGAATGGTTCCTACTACAAGAGTATGTGTGAGGAGGTTTCAAACTTGGGTCTAGGTTATAAGCTTCCATCGATGCATGATATTCTCACTTAGATCTTAAAAGAAGTGGACAATATATATAGATTAATGAATTGTAGTAAATCATGAAAACAATATGGTTGTACAATTATGTTTGATGGATGGACTGGCGAAAAAAAATAGGTCCATTATTAATTTTCTTGTCAATAGTCCAAGGGGTCATTTGATAACAGCTGAAGTGGTTGAACTCCAAAGCTATTTATGTTTCTAAGGAGGTTATGGGCTCCTCAATGGCTGAAGTTGAAGTTAAGCTTATTACAATACCTTGAGTTATTTATTGTCTATTTATTGTATCATTATTAATGCATCTGATTCCATTAAAGAAGGGGATCTTTTTTTTAAGTATCTTGATGATGTTGAAGAGGTAGGAGAGGATAATGTGGTTCAAGTTATGTACTTGCTGAAAAAAGTTGATGGAAAAGAGGATAAAGTCGTATTTATCGGTTTGGATGGGTTTTGTGCTTGATGAGGAGTTTCTATGTCCAACAGTTATTCGATTTGCCATTGCTTATTTGACTTTGCAAAGCATTTATAAACAGAAGCAACCTCTCCAATCAATGTTTGCTTTTGAAAAGTGGAATGAGAGTCAATGGAGTAAAGATCTTTCAATGAGAGTCAATGAGAATCAATTCTCCTTGGAAAGCTATTCATGGCCTGCTACCTTTTTTCATTCCTAATATCAGGTATGACTTGAATTCCGGTAATTCCATAAAATTTTGGRAACAAACMTGGGTGGGGAGCGCCCCTCTAAAGGATCAGTTTCCGTCTTTGTACGCTCTTTCTGATTTGAAAAATGAGCCGATCTCGTCTTTCACCACCCCGTCCTCTTCCACTTCTAGGATTGGGTAGAACTTGGGTCTAAGAAGGGATTTGAGGGATTCAGACT